GTGAATACTGAGCAAACAGTTCTCTTCAGACATACTGGATACAGACTGAATGAAAGAGAGGCCTCGTCACCTGGTCTAAATATAGTGGATTTCAGTACTGCAGCTGGATAGAATCAGGTAGAAGAGAGACTAATGGAGTAACAAATCCACTCTTTAGTCCAATAAATGTTTCTTGAAAGACACTGCATAGAAGACACTTTATTGTCATAATGGGTCAGGCCTTGCCTGGGGTTAATACTTCAAATAAATCTTCCCATGAAATTCTTACAGAACCTTACTTAACAGAACCTTAAACAGAACCTTACTTCCATGGCTTTTTGAAGGTTTTCATCAACCATGCAAATGGGCTGTACCAATCTCAAGTAACATGGCAACAGTAACCAACCTTGTCTTGGCATCTAGAAAAATGGCGGGTAGCAAAGATAAGAGAAACCTCCTTTGAAGAGCTGCTATGTTACTCAAAAGCAAGTGAAAGAGGAAGTCAAAGACACAGTTACACTAAAGGAAAAGAAAGTCTCTTCAATAAATGGTGCTGGGAAAATTGGACAGCTATATGTAGAAGAATGAAACTCGACTATTCTCTTACACCGTACACAAAGATAAACTCAAAATGGATAAAAGACCTCAACATGAGACAGGAATCCATCAGAATCCTAGAGGAGAACATAGGCAGTAACCTCTTTGACATCAGCCACAGCAACTTCTTTCAAGATATGTCTCCAAAGGCAAAGGAAACAAAAGCAAAAATGAACTTTTGGGACTTCATCAAGATCAAAAGCTTCTGCACAGCAAAGGAAACAGTCAACAAAACAAAGAGGCAACCCACAGAATGGGAGAAGATATTTGCAAATGACAGTACAGACAAAAGGTTGATATCCAAGATCTATAAAGAACTCTTCAAACTCAACACACACAAAACAGATAATCATGTCAAAAAATGGGCAGAAGATATGAACAGACATTTCTCCAATGAAGACATACAAATGGCTATCAGACACATGAAAAAATGCTCATCATCACTAGCCATCAGGGAGACTCAAATTAAAACCACATTGAGATACCACCTTACACCAGTTAGAATGGCCAAAATTAGCAAGACAGGAAACAACATGTGTTGGAGAGGATGTGGAGAAAGGGGAACCCTCTTACACTGTTGGTGGGAATGCAAGTTGGTGCAGCCACTTTGGAGAACAGTGTGGAGATTCCTCAAGAAATTAAAAATAGAGTTTCCCTATGACCCTGCAATTGCACTACTGGGTATTTACCCCAAAGATACAGATGTAGTGAAAAGAAGGGCCATCTGTACCCCAATGTTCATGGCAGCAATGGCCACGGTCGCCAAACTGTGGAAAGAACCAAGATGCCCTTCAACGGACGGATGGATAAGGAAGATGTGGTCCATATACACTATGGAGTATTATGCCTCCATCAGAAAGGATGAATACCCAACTTTTGTAGCAACATGGACGAGACTGGAAGAGATTATGCTGAGTGAAATAAGTCAAGCAGAGAGTCAATTATCGTATGATTTCACTTATTTGTGGAGCATAACAAATTTAGTATGGAGGACATAGGGAGATGGAGAGGAGAAGGGAGTTGAGGGAAATTGGAAGGGGAGATGAACCACGAGAGACTATGGACTCAGAAAAACAATCTGAGGGTTTTGAAGGGGTGGGGGGTGGGAGGTTGGGGGATCCAGGTAGTGGGTATTATGGAGGGCACATATTGCATAGAGCACTGGGTGTGGTGCATAAAAATGAATTCTGTTATGCTGAAAAGAAATTTTAAAAAGGGGGGGCACCTGGGTGCAGCAAGTGGTTAAGCTGCTGACTCTTGGTTTCAGCACAGGTCCTTATCTGGGGGGAGTGAGATCAAGCCCCAGGTCAGGCTCCATGCTCAATGGGGAGCCTGCTTGAAATTCTCTCTCCCTCTCCCTCCACCCCTGTGCACGCTCTCTCTTTCTCAAATAAATAAAAGAAATCTTAAAAAAAGAAAAAAGATACTTGTAGGCATCGGTCCTCAAAATGTGGTTTCCGGGGCACCTGGGTGACTGAGCAGGTAAGCCTCTGCCTTCAGCTCAGGTCATGATCTCAGGGTCCTGGGCTCGAGCCCCACATTGGGCTCTCTGCTCAGCAGGGAGCCTGTTTCCTCCTCTCTCTCTGCCTGCCTCTCTGCCTACCTGTGATCTCTCTGTCAGATGAATAAATACAATCTTTAAAAAAAAAACAAATGTGGTTTCCAGACATCTAAGTTTCTGGACACCCTTTCAGGGGTCTGCAACCTAAAAATTATTCTCATTATAATATCCATATTATTTGCTGCTTACATTATGTGAACATAGTCAGAGTGTAAAAATGACCAGGTTAAAAGTTCTGGTGCTTGAGCAAGACTCAAAGGCAGTGGACTCAGACTATGCTAGTAGTGATTCTATCCTCACGGTTGTGCCCTTGCCATTTAAAAAAAAATCAAGGGGCACCTGGGTGGCTCAGTGGGTTAAAGTCTCTGCCTTCAGCTCAGGTCATGATCTCGGGGTCCTGGGATTGAGCCCCGCATCGGGCTCTCTGCTCAGCGGGGAGCCTGCTTCCCTTCCTCTCTCTCTCTGCCTGCCTCTCTGCCTACTTGTGATCTCTGTCAAATAAATAAAATCTTAAAAAAAATCAAATTTTGCTTAATGTTTTTGATGAAACAATAAAAAGAATTAATGTTATTAAATCTAAATCCTAAATACATATCTTTTTACTATTAAGTATGATGAAATGAGAAATACGCATAAAGCACTTCTTGCTAAAATATGCTGGCTGTCTTCAGGAAAATGTTTGTGATCTTTTTTGAGTCAGAGTCAGGGAACATGATTTTCATTTAAGAAATGATTGACAGACAAGCTATATTATTCAGAACACTGGGACATTTATCAGACATTTTCTCAAAAATGAATTGAAGTGATCCTACTACTGCAGGAAAAACAACTGACAGTTTCTGATACCAATGATAAAATCAGAGTAAAAGTGAAGATTAGAATTTTGGTCATTTTGAGTTTGACACTTAACCCGTTAAGACTTCTGATGAGATGGGTGGTGATAGTAACAAAGGCAAGATATAGATGTAATATATATTTTAACATAATATTTAATATTTTAAAATATAATATTTAAATAACATTTATAGATAATTTTAATATATTTATATTTATAAATAAAATAATGAAATCTTACAATAGTCGTAAGATTTATATAACTCCATTAACTAATATGTTCCAAATGATACAAGTGTGATTCTGCAAAAAAGAAGACATAGTCAAAATACAGGACAGATTTTAAAGAAAGAGTAAATTAAGAAAGTTCATCCATGGGGTTTAAGATGTCACCCTGTTACTCTAAAGAAATTACCATTTCTTGATGTTTGATACAGTATCACAGAAGCATATCCATGATTATCTAAAAGCACTATTAAACTACCCCTCCCTTGGGGTACCTAAGTGGTTCAGCCGGTTAAGCATCTGACTCTTGGTTTGGGCTCAGGTCATGATCTCAGGGTCCTGAGATCGAGCCTCACATGGGGATCTGGGCTCAGCATGTAGTCTGCTTGTCCTTCTCCCTCTGCTCCTTCCCCCATATGCACGCTCACTCTCTCTTAAATAAATAAAGTATTTTAAAAATAAATAAATAAGATAAAATGCCCCTTCTTTTTTCCACCTACATATTTGTGTGAGGGCAGATTTTCTGCATTTACTTTAATTCCAAGCAACATATCACAACAGATTGAATCAGACACAGATGAGTAGCCCTCTCTTTTTGATTGATCTAGACACCAAAGAGATTTGCAAAAATTTTTTGTTTGGAAAATATAGTTAATTTTCATAAAGTCAGGTTATATGCATGTAGTAGTAGATTTATGATTTTTATTTTAAATGAGTCAATCAATAAACATTTTTTCTTTTCTTAGTTTTCCCATCTAATAGCAATAGATATAATAGCAATAGCTATAACCCACATTAGCAATAGATATAATAGCAATAGCTATAACGCACATAAACAAAATCACTTTGGGGTTCTCAATAACTTTTAAGATTATAAAGGGATATTGAGGGCCCGAATTTAAGAACCATTACCTTTAGGCAGTGAACTCATGAAGGCTAACCAGAATGGCTGGCAATAGGCAGAATGGCTCAATTTGAACAATATGAACCAATTTGAACAAAATGAAGGAAGGAGCTGCAGGAGTACTGTTGAAAACTCAAGGACCGTTCCCATAATTAGGCAAAATCAGTGGAAAATGCTTGATCCTCTCATCCTACTGGTATAACCCCCTTTCCCCCCTCACGTGACAAAGAGCATCAGTATGGCACTATCTCCACTGTGCTGTAGTGAGCACAGTGACCACAGATATATAAAAAACCTTCCATGGCTTTTAGGAAAGTCAAAGGGTGTGCCAGAGTTCTCAGCCATGTTTACATGGGGAGATAAAAGAGTGTAAGAGTTTTGACTTTGCCAGCACTTCCCAGAAAGTGGGGGCATAGAAGATTTATGTGAAATAATGCAAGAACGTTTCTCTTTCAAAGCTGCAGGACCAAAGTGGAGTGGGAAAATGGAAAAAGGGCATATGGAGGGAGGCAACAACCCAAGGGGTACTATTTCAGAACACAGAGATGTAAAATATACTCTCTAAACTCAGTGATACTGTATGGTGTTCTTTGTCATCAGGTTATGACCTCCTGGAATACATTTTTAAGTTTGCCATTTATAACAGTTGTCAAAATGAGTGAAAGTAATCTCATTTTATTCTATTTAAATGGTGTACCTAAACAATATTGCCTGGAAAGAATTTCAGAGACTATAGCAATCTTTCAAGCCATATGGCTAGTATTATTACTACCATTCAATTCCATATATTTAAACACTAGGCACAAGGCTTGAGTACATCCGCAATAAATATAAAAAAATAATTCATGTTTATTGAAGATGAAGCCAACTTACATTCTATTTGATTGTCTTGTTTTTCAGCTCATGCCTATTAACAGTATGATGTGAGTGTGAATTTACTGGAGCACAAGTCAAAACCTGGGATCTGTGTTGTAACTGTGGGAACTGACAGACTTGCCAAAACTTGTATTGACTGAAACACAACTCTTCCTTTCTAAGCATATTCAGCAGTCCTGGATATTCTGATGTATCTACTTTCAAGCTTCTTGCAAAGATATTCCCCACGTCTGAATAATGGAGCTTCCCATGCAAGTAAGTGAAAAGTAAGATTGTTTTCTTCGGAATAATGGTAGGCAAGCCATTATAATACCTCAGAAAACCAAGATGTCAAAAATCTGATGAGATCATTTATTTGGTCAGCTCCCATTACGCACACACTGCACTGTACGGGTGATCTTAGCAGCTTATTTTCATTTGGCTCTTAGTTTTCCCATAGGGCATATTCTTTCAAAGTACTCGCATTTTGTTTTGTTTTCGACTATTTTTGCTTTTGGTTTTAACACTCCCCTCCAATGCTTATTTTCTATGGGTCCCAGGTTCCGATGCTATCTTGGGTATCTGACAGTAAGTAAAATACTACACTTTAGAACCCAAAGGAAAAATATTCTTACTGTTTTACAGAATGATTAAGAACAAAGAAACTAATTTCCAGATCATTTAAATATATATTCTTTCAGAGGTATTATGTTCTCCCAGATAAAGCATTCTCATTTTTATTCATATTAATTTCTAAAACAGAGAAATAAAATATCTCAGTTTTCCAAGAATGTTATTTTTTACACTCAACTCAAGCATTCTTTGCCAATTACAAAGTTCACAAAGCTTATTTTATGAAAATAAGCCCTAAATGAATGAGGCTTATGCATCAAAGCAATCAGGTAGCATTTAGCCAGTTAGCCCACATATATTTTCCTCATCCCTGATTTAACTCACTTGTCTGCATCAAAAACAGTGAGATGTGAAAAGAAAACATAGTTAGCGGGTGGACCCTTATGATTCTGTCCAAATGATTCACTGATCAGTAGCTTTCATTTGCCTTCTATTTCTGTTCTAATGCTCCCTCATGAATTTTTGAGATTAGCAAAATTTCCTTCTATGATTTATTGTTCATGAAAACTTTCTTTACACTCATGTTTTAACACATCATGTCAGTTAGTATCCTGAAGTTCTAAGAAGCTGTATCTATTGGCAAAAATTCTTTGTAAATCACCAGCATTTTTCCCTTTTGCCAGCTGAAGAGCCTGAGGCAGGAGGAGGACATAAGTAGTGATACATGGCGACACATGCATCTGTGGGCTTTTAGCTTCAGCATCTTAAAGAATGCGGACATGGGGAAATATTTCAAAGAAATTGTGTTGCCTTCTGGAAGAGGCCCAGTTCTAATTGTTCTCAAGGTATTAAAATGTTTCCCATCAGTTTTCTAATAGAACAATTACTGAACACCCTCCATATTCCATCCAGGCTTTTGGCTGGACTCCAGGAATACAGATATGAAGGATATGAATGAAACACAGTCCCTGATCTCAAGATGCTCATAGTCTAGATAAACAGAGACACACTCAAGAGAATCAACATAGGTTGGGAATAGCATGCATTCACTCACACATATGGAGTTCCTCCTACACCACTTATTGGTTGATCATGACAGCAGAAGGGAACTCAGGGGAAAGGCCATTAACCCAACTGGAGATTTCAGGGATGTCCTCCTGGAAGAAATCACATTTGAATTTTTGTTATACAGATGGTGACAGGGGCGAGGGCATTTCTGGGTAAGTAAAGGGCATAGACAAAAGCAGAGTCATGTGAAATGTCATGGACAAGGCAGGAATCTATGCTATTTGCTATCTGTAGAACATTAAATGCTAGGATTAGAGAAATGACAGATGAAACTGGGGTTCTTTGAAGGAGAAAGAGCTGGGCTGGAAAGAAAGAGCTCATCTTCTCAAGTCCCCTCGGCTAGATGGAACTTGGAAAGGGTGAAGATATTCTCTCAGCAAAGTATTATAAACTCATTAGGCTAACTTATTAAGACTATAAGGAATTTGGGTCAGAACTTCCTATCATCTGGTACAGAGAGAAAAAGCAGGTTAGATTTGTATTATGGAAATAAACAAGAAGGTTAGCTGGACTGAGGAATCGAATTATTCAGACATACGGCCCACAAATTCACATACACACACCAATGCTGGTAAAGCAATTTATTTGTTTTATCTAAAAAATATTTACTTAGAATGTAGTATGTCTAAAGGCACTACCCAGATCTAGATTACCCCCAAAGTGAGTGAAAACAGTCCAAGCAGTTTAAACCAGAGTCCTGCTCATTTTAGTTCCATGTGCTCCCCCAGCATCTGCAATTTCTAAGACTGGAGATAACCTTACTATATGCTTCTGTGGGGCGGTTAAGGAGAAGACAAAGAAGTCTTATCTCTATATCGCTCACTTTTTCATAATCTCTTTCTAGCTCTCCTTCAAGGAGCTGGAGAAAAATCTGTTCTATGATGAGAACTGCATAGAAACTATTCACAGTTGACCACATCCGCTGGGCAAGACTCACCAATCCCAAGGAATGTACAAACTCAGGTTCCAAAACACAGGCCGACTGATCATTCTGGCCAACTAAATTGGGAACTAATTAAATGTTTTAACTGGAAGTCTCTCCTCACTGCAGCAGAACAGAGTCATTTTGAAGCAAACATTTCAATGAAACACTTCTTAGGGAGAATCCAATTTAACTACAAGAAACGACGGCTTCTGGTTGGCAGCACAACGTATTCCCACTTGATCCACCCCCCAACCCACCACCATGTAGACACACAGGTCAAATGTTACTTATGCTCAGAAGGATAGCCACAGAAAAAGATATATTTCATCCATATCAAAGTCATCAGAAATGGTCTTTTCTTACCTATGTAGGATTTTAATACAGTCCACTGAGGCGGACGAAAGATTATATAAGTTATTCACATAAAGGAGATTTTAGAAGACTATCTAAACATGTTTGGTGTTGTTTGAATGTAGTAAGAGTGGGAGGTTAAGTTATTCCTTTCATTTCCATTAGTAATTAGATGTTGGCTGAAGCATTTCTCCTGCCTGGCAATCCCTTAAAAAGAGGTATAATGTTTTGAGGCAGCAGAGCACTCATCCCCTCCAAGTGGGGAGTCTCCACAAGAATTTACATCCCCAGCATGTTTAGAGGGGCAGTTGGAATTACATTATCCTATGTGGGTCTAAGAAGGGAATCCAATCAGAAACTCTGAAGGCCAGAAAGAGGAAGTTGCCAAGTTTCCTGAAATGAGAAGTCTCCTCTTGGACTTCTGGCCCAAGCTTCCTTAGAATATCAGAAACCTTCTGCATGACAAAGTCTCCCATGTTATTATTAGGCATCATCTACTCACTTGTTCTAGATGCAAAAATTAGTGTCAAATATGAAAACTGATGCAACAAGTACGCAGACAAGACTTCAAGTTGTTTAGCAGCTGCTCTTGGGCAAGAACTGTCTAGATTGGAGATTGCCATCAATGGTGAGTGACTTAAATACTTAATACGAGTCAGAAACTGCACAAAGTGACGGTGCACAGACATGAAAAAGATGCATAAATGGGCAGATACATAAAAAAGATAACTTCAGATATTGTAAGGTAAATTCCAAGAGAGAGACAAGCATAGAGTGGCGTAGAAGCCATTCTAATGGTAGGGCCCCAGGGAAGAAATTCTGAAAGGAAATCAGGTCTAACACAAATTTCGCACAATGAACAGGAGCTGGCCAATTTAGGAAGGAAGGGAATGGGTACTGAATTAGAGGGAGCAGAAGAAGCAAAATAACATGTGTATAATTTTCCTATAAGCAGTTTAACATTATTAGACTTCAAACTGAGAAATGAAGGTTGGTCGGTAATCAGAAAAGAGAACTACATAAAGACAAGAATGCATCTCTAGCGAAGAAAAGAACTCTCGTAAACCAGAAAAGACAGACATTCAAATTTCAAATGTGGTCAGAAGATGTGAACAGGCATAGTACAAAAGTGAAGATATGAATATCCAAGAAACATAACTATTTGATTGTCTCACTAGTAATAATGGGAATGCAATACCATGAAAACATTGTATTATGCTATGATAAGAGACATGGACTTTATCCTCTGGATAATGGTAAGTTATTGGATAATTCTGACAGAAAACCAAGAAAAAAAATCCAGACAACAGAAATAGTTCCACAGAGGATCCAGATATAGATATGCTAGTGAAATGGAAATGTAAAGGGCCAAGAATAGCCAGGATACTCTGGGAAAAGAAGAGTAAAGTTGGAAGGCTCATTTTACCAGATATTAAGACCATTATAAAGCAACAGTAGTAATAAAGACAAAGTGTAATGATAGACAATGTAAACCAATGGAAGAGACCAGACCAAAGTAAACCAATACAAGAGACCAAAGTAAACAAATGGAAGAGGCTTTATATAAGTATATAAGTATATATACTTATATAAACACTATATTTTGGTAAAGTCAACACTTCCAGGCAGAAGGTAACGTACCACATTTCAGTAAATGATGCTGGGTCCTCTGGATATGCACAAAGAAAAGGAAAGTAAAATTTAACTCCTACTTCATATCACATACGAAGGTCAATTTTAGGTATACTGTAGAGTTAAATGCAAAAGGCAAAATAATAAATCTTCTAGAAGAAAAGATAGGAAACTAATTCATGATTTGGGGAAAGGTAGAGATTTCTTAAACAGAACTCATTTAAGGCACTAGTCTTAAAAGAAACAATTGATAAAATGCATTACATTAAAATTAGAAACATCTGTTCATTAAAAAACTATTAGAGAGTGCAAGGGCATATATATATATATGTGGAATAATTATGTTATATTCCTATAATGGAACACCAGAGATGAGAAGTAGCATTCCATAACTATATGCCAACATCTGGGGAATGTTCACAAACATAATACTAGAGAACAAAGCTAGACCCCAAAAAAGCGTATTTCATATGTCACTTTCACAAAACATAAAAGTAGGAAAAACTATTTTATGTTTTTGAAATCAGGATAGTAATCATCTTTGGGGGTAAGTAGTGATTAGGAGATGCAAGAAGAAGACTTTGATGGATGTTGATAATAGTCTAAGTTTATGTGAGTGGTCATTATATAGAGACAGTCAATTAATGAAAATGATCTGTCTAAACACTTATGGTATGGGCATCATTCTAGATACTCTGTATATCTGATTCAACATAAAGGCTAAAAA